CCTCGCACTCGGTGAAGGAGAATACGTCAATTCTATGGAAATCCATGTGGCCAAGAAACTTGGATCGAAACACTTACGATTGTTCACCAACAGAGGCAACTCCGTTGGTGCAGGGTCAAAGACGGATGAAAGTGCAACGGTGGATGCCCCCGAAGGCTATCAGTTCAGTGGGTTTTTCGGTCGAGCAGGGACGGAAGTGTACGAATTGGGTGCAATTTGGACCAGGATCAATGCTACACATTTGTACCTCACAGACGATATGGGTTCAGAATGGTATGGCAAGAAGATGAGGAACTGGGTGGGTCCCACCATCGGTGACGCTCTAGACTCAGCCTGTTATCGATAAACGGAGTCGCTCAGTAGCAGTCAGCTCTGTCCGCTTGGATACAGCACGACCGGCAACAATTGTATCGCGCAATGTCCACTGTCATATCCGATCAAATGCGGTCTGGAGTGTATCCCCCAAAATGACGATTGTATCCTAGAAAATTCTCCAAAAAGCCGCGTCGGTAGTCTCTGTGGTTTTCAACACTGCAACTGCAGGCGTGTTTGGCGAAGTCAAGGCCGCGTACAAGGCGGCGCATCAGACGTATATGTGTGCTGCGAGTATCATTGGTGTGCTCAAATCGCTTATTTACTATCTGAGATTCCAGCAAACTTCTGCCCCACAAGGCTCCGTCGAAGAGCTCCTTGCTGTAGCGTACCAGACAGATGTTGTCGTTGTGGCGCAGTCTGCACTTGTCTCGGTCTCCCGGTTTCGTACAGTGCACGAGTCACGGGCGTCGTGATCGCAGTAGTGGAAAATATTGTGAAGCAGGCGATCGTCAACGGAGACCAGATTTTAGCGTCTGCGACGGACGTGATGGCATTTCTTCGGAATGTCAGTGCGCTCAATCCTCCAGATGAATCGACTGTGGTCGAAATCCAGGACTTCCTCGACTCCAACACGACGTGTGGATTCCAGCTTAAAACTCTCACAGACCGTGTCAGCACTACCATTCAAAGTATCCGCAACGCAACACCCAGTGCCACAAGCGAAGATATCCGAGTGACAATGATCAGATCTTCGCTCGTTCTAACCGATGTGGCTTTCGTTACCAATAATTGTATGGGTGAAATTCTGCGCAACAAAACCACTGAGAGTGCTTTCCAGACGCGAGACTTACTACGCAAGACCATGGGGGTTATTATTGATCAGTTGATTGAGACGAACACAACCAATATGGGAGTCTCCGTTGCCAAAGATGATGCCACACTCGAATCAGCAAACCTTGGACTTGTGGTATTGGCCAGGCATTCCGAAATAATCATTGTATTGCTGCTTCAATACAATAGTTTACACTTAATTATTGATTTTTACAAATTGGATGACTTTGTCCAATTAGTTATTTTGTATTTACAGCAAAGTACTTTATTTTTTCGTAAAATCTAGTTTTTTCTGCTTTGTTTTGCGTAAATACGGAGCTCGGTCTCCAGATGGCTGTTAGCAACGGTCGCTCAAAACGCGAACCTGAGGCGCTCGTCTATCATTTTTGATCTCACCATGGCTCTCGCCAACACCTTCACGACCAAGCAAGTCTGCAGCCACTTTTTTACTGCCAGCTTGGCGACTTTCAGTCGGCCACCACGCAGTATTCTTTCAAAAACACAACGTAAACGCTTTCTCGATGTGCGCCGAAAATCTTTTGATGCGCCTCACTCGCAAAGACCATTCGCTTGTGAAAAGATAATCTCTGCCTGCCGAAGCCAAATACCTGGACTTCCAGTCGAGCGTGCGTTGTAGCCCTGTCAGGCGCCGTGGACGAGCTGACGAACGACCAGGAGCTGATGTTGCAGCCATTTGAGACGGTACCTGCAATTACGACACCGGACACAAGGCACGGACGCCCACAGGGCTTTGCCGACAGAGTCTTGGCGACTAGAAAAAAAGCGGCGCGGTGCAAAGAAGATATTTGATGGTGTGCTTTTCATCCCGCCGACGTCAAACACCGTGGAGCGTCTTTTTAGTGTGGCGAAACATACTCTTTTCCACCATCGCCAGCGTATGCTGCCTATTCACCTTGAAACCGTGTTGTTCCTGAAGATGAATCGGCGTTTCTGGGACGCAAACACTGTAGCAGCTATCGTGAACGCAAAGTAATGTACATCTAAGTAGTTAATTTTCCAATACACTACTATTGATGTCAATTATTTATTTCTTAAGCTTTAGTTTTTGTAGCAATAGCTTATTTTGGCATGGACCTTCAATATGATTGCAATTGTATTATCGGAATGCCTGGTATTGGCAGGTCTGGACCCAACGGGCATTCTCTGGATGTCCTCCCAGTTCGTCCAACCTACTTGTGGTCCAACGTCATTTATTGGAGAGGTAGACGACGGTACTCTTTTCGATGCACTTGGGCTAACAACCGTGGACGAAGCTTTTATAGGAAGCTATGGAGCCTGGACAAAGGAGGGCGATGGGATGGTGAACATCATAGTAAATTTGCAGAAGTCAAAGTGGCATCGCGCGAGACGGTCACGTGGAATGCCACAATTGCCGAGCTGCAAGACAAGACACTGTACCTGGATCGATGGAGACCAGATTTTATTGGAATTCCAGGGTCGGATGGGGGCTCACTGATGCTGTGGGTGCCGCGGTCCTCAAAAGGCGGCCACTTGGCTCTAAATGTTCAAATCAACGCGAGCTAAATCATCGCGTTACATTCTCGTCACGCTAGTTATTGTACATGTACTTGCATTAATACCGAGCGTCTTAATGAAAAAGTCAAGTATCGGCGATTTTTTAATTTAGAATTTCAAAATCTTTTGGTATTTTTTTTTCTAAAATATCTTTTTGAAAGGGTCTAAATCAGGGCCTAAAAGTTTTTTTAGAAAGAAATGTGCATTTTGTCTCAACATCAACAATTCGTTGCC